CAGTGCCGGATCGGTGGCAGCAACACTAAGCTCTTGGGGTGGTCTACGAAAAATGTGCCCAAACCGCCTCATTCCTCTTTTTCCTGCATGGCTTGGGATATCCTTATGCTATTGTCGCAGTGGGGTCTCAGTTGAGATGAAGCCGGGGTGCTTCACTCAAAGGATGACCCTCAAGCAGCAGTGGCCAAACATTTCCAGTTTTTACTGGATGGAGATTACCTTTATCGGATTCCTAGCCATACCAACAGGCCTACTACATGACGTAAACTAGCAAAGCTTCCCAACTGGCGATGCAATTCTGCTTTGTGCAATGACCACACCATGGTAATTGGTCGGTTCAGGAAACCAGAGGCCTAAGTGTTTTTCGGAGACTGTTTTTTTTTTGGAATCCACTTTGACTGCCTCTGATTAACAGATCCTATAAATCCTACCAGGACCAATCCAGTAAATCACCCGCAATTGTACGGCAGTTTTAACCGAAGCCACTGTATGCTCACTCTGTTTCTAAGCTTTCGGTGATCTATCTATCCTCTCATTTAAATATTCAGTAGTGGCTTTCCGCTGTTTGCAACTCAATATAAAGTTAAAAGGTAGGTTCGGATAACATATCTTGTTCCCTAAATTGTTCGCCTCTTTAGAGATCAATTACTGATCGTTAAAACGTTTTGTTTTGATAGGTCTGCAACCGCTCTGACTGTTGATTATGGTTGTTGTAATCTCAACTATAACCTTCCTATATTAAGAAAACGGCTGAGATGCGGTAAAGAGAAATTCGTTCCGTTACGTTAATATTCCGTTTTTCTACTTAAGTCCAGATAATTAGATTAGTAATAATACTATTATACGGCTTACTTTTAGTATCATTATGCAAAAATGTCTAGTTTCTTTGAAACGTGGCTGCCTTTTCACACACTGAGAATTACACGTTTTTATCAAAATGAGCATTGAACTGCGTTTGCCGGGCCAGTGGTTAGTTTCAACGTTGAATTAGTCTTTATTCTTAAATTGCTAGATGCGGAAACACACGGTAAATTGACTATCTCATGAAATTTCACCCAAAATTATGAAATGCGTCTTCGATTCCAACATATCACTAAAGCAAGGTCGTAATATCAATTATCATGCAGCCTAATCTCCGGATATTTCAGTGATTTAGCTTAGCTAAGATACCCTCGATCCGGCACCACTACACATTTGGAGGCGTCGAAAAGGAGGCAATTGAAGACTTGGCTCGACACCGTCCGTCAAGACATGGAAGCAGTTCTTGGACCTTCTGTTTTATCACAGATTGATCAAATTAAGTATTCAAGTCTGCCAAAATCCCCTATTACATGATGAACATCTTTTCGACAGTCGAAACATTTTACGGCGGTCAACACACCGGAGCCGTACAGCTCCTTAGCTGAGATAAAATTGTCTCGTTGATGGACGAATTTCCAATTCCAGTGTGTGGCACAGAGCGCTTTTTGAGCGTCCTTAAACATCTTCCCAGTTGGAGACCGGTGCTCACTCGTCCTTTTTGGGGAGACAATTAGGTTACTGCAGAAGATTGTATTGGACAGGCACTGTGAGCCCTCAAATTCGGAAACTGACCTTGATATCCAAGACATAGAGGCACGAAAAATACAGGGCATCTGCCTTCTCGGTATTTGTCGCGAAAGCCTTGTCTACATTCCTCTTGGACTCCTGAATTTAAACCTGACAGGTGGGCTTCTCTCATAGAGAGCACCCGTTCCGGATGGTCCTAAAAGAGTCGGTATGGTCTTTTCTGAACGACGTTTGCAGAAAAAAGGCAGTGCTATGAAAGCTGGTCTCTATGTCTTCCGTGATTTTCCAAGGGTCTTTGACGTCGTGAACAAAAGAGGGCTCCGGTTGAAATTGTACGTCCGAAAAGGCTCACTTAACTGGCTGAGGAGAAGAGCAACAGTGGGAGCTTTCGAATTGGGCGAAGCAAAGTTGCGCAAAATCCCAGTTCCTCTTCAATCTCATGTTTCCCGCAATACTGATGGGTGACGATAAAGAAGATGTTACCTGGTATTGACTCAAGCCATCGAACCGACAAGCAACTAATCAACGCCGCTATATCCAGCTTATCGAGTGAGCACTGGAAACTTCAACTGGAAAGAACATGTAGCGAATTGCAGACCTACTTATCATCCGATGCGTCAACTGAGGACTAAATATCACGGCGCAAAAAAGCACTGTGCACAAACCCGCGCTAACTGTCGACTACATTGAGCTCATGATAAATGACATTGGAAATGGACTTGCAACGGCATAACAACTCTCAGACCAGAGCAGAAACGGTTTATAGATCAATAAAATTGACAAAACTGCAGGCCAGAGCTCTAAAGCCAATCAGGCATTTGACAGTCCACAACAAGCTTTCTGAAAGCATCACAGTATGAAAATAAGGGTTGCCGTCTCTGCCACGCTTTTTCACTGGGCCGAAACCCGGACAGTTAATCAAAACCAGGAAATGGATGAACTACACCCACTTAACCGTCTTCAAAGGAGACCAAGTTTAAAGTA